AATCGTGAATACAATTCGACGAGCCACAAAAGTGAACATGAGGGTGTGCCTCTTTGTGTTTATTTTGTGCTTCAGGGTAGCGGTGTAGTGGCAAGTGGCGCCACTTATTGCGCGCATTGTCCAGGGGTCAAATCTCGGTCGAATATCGACCCAGACCAACCTAAAATTACAGACCTGTACCGGCTGGCCATCGCTAGTCATAGTTCGCCACACCGGATTCGAATGTCTGCATTCTGGATGGGAGACGAAGGCGTGGCGCATTCCAGAAAGGGATATCAACACCGAAGGCGTTGTCCTTCCATTCTGTGCACTGAATGCGATAACAGCTCATACGTATGACGCTCTTTCATAATCGTTTCCAAATCATTTTGTTTCATTCCTGAGTAGTGTCGCAAAGGTTGATGTGCTTCTTGTCCATCTGGTGACAGTGCTTTTTCGATGGGATTGCGGAACGCTAGCTTTCATTTCATAACAAGAGGTTGCTGAGTGGGCAAAACATTTGCATAGGGCGTCTGCTGGGCCTAACCCGCATTAACTGTCAACAAAACAAGACGTGCGAGCAGAATTTCTGAATAGGCTCGAGTCTGCATTTGCGCTTTACGGGTGCTATCGCGTATTACGCTTTGTCTTACGACATAGTCGCAGTAGAGCTGTCATACTATGAATTTGCGCTCTAATGGTTCTTCTGTGAACGATCCTAATTGGTTGACTGGTGAGAGCGGTAACATAGCTAATATCGGCTATTTCCTGCAAGCTCTTAAACGAGTACATCCAGTACTTTGTGCATTTCTGATTGGAAGGGAGTTATGGGTGGTCCTCCTGTTTATATGTTGAATTGTTACCGAAAAGCAGGGGTGTTGTTGCGCATCCCGAAAAGTGGATCATAGCTGAATCAACAATTTCTACCGCAGTGCCATTTCAGTACCATATCTCAGTCCATATAAGTTCGCCGTCTCGCTTCCCTTAACGCCTCCCAGCCTTTATCTGTTCTCCAAAACTGTGTCGCTATGATGGTTGTGACCACCCTACCTGCTGCATCCTTCGCCTACAGTTCGGTGGCCTCCAGGTTATTGCAAATTTTAGGATAACCCCCAATTAAACCAGCCACATATTTCACTATCCATCCGTACATTTTATAAAATCGCGATTGCTTGGCTCAGTCACATCGGGAGTACTTTCTGTAATTGTGATTCAACGATCTACATCTGCATAGGAAGTGCCTAAAACGCGGACAGAGGGGTAAATGAAACATTTCACAAGGAGGCTAAAATCACTGGTAAATTCTTCTTGTTCTTGTTCGTAAATCATTTTCCGAATAACCATCACCATTAATATTTTACTCACCTAACAGAGTCATATTTTTGGACACCGGGTCATGCAAGTAAATGAATAAATAAACGTGAAAAATTATCATTGCGCGAGCCACGCCTGAGCTAGCGTTCATGCAGTCGCTTCTTTTCACCACACATTCATTTTCATGCGCCTATGCATGCTGAAGGCCCAAAATTCTGCAAATAATAAAGTTCGCCTCATTCGATATCGGTCATCACCTAGTCGTTTGCAACGACGTTGTGAAATTATCCCTCTCCATCTCGATACCGAGAGAAATTCTGCTACCCACCGTGAGTCTGCAAAACTCTTGGTTGTCGAGCTCATAGAAGTCGGACCGATAGGTGTCGGGTCTTCGCCATGATTGGTTTTGATGAGAGCTCCTCGAACACCGATGGGTGCACGCAGGGATATTAGCCGGTGCATTCGCTTTTGCAACTCAACCCCATCTCAATTCGCGTAGTTACTCGCCCAAAGTTGAAAGGTTGAGTAAGGCAGTGTGTCCTGTCGTACAACTGCAACAGGATACATATGAAATATGATATGAGATATTCACTCATTATTTTTGCTTTGTGTGCCTTGCAGTTGTTCTTGGCTTCATTTTAAAAGCTGCTGAGATTTGTAACATTCGATCACAATGTTCAGGTCATCACCTACAAATTGATAACGCCATCCGTCGTTTCCGAGCGTCTGAAGGTTCGAGCGTCTCTCGCCAAGGCAGGACTTCGGGAGCTTCAAGCAAAGGGGCTTGTCAAATGCATCGTACACCATGGAGGCCAAATTGTTTACACTCGAGCCACCAAGGAGGCCGATGTGATTGTTGAGTAAATGTTGTTATTGTTGTGTTCGCGGTTTTTATTCATGAACATAATTTAACTGTACATTGTTACACAAAACATGCCGTACCACTGGTGAAAGTATTTCTTATTATTGGTTTTACTTTACCGACATTCTCTTAAAATGGGTCTATTTGAGATGTTTGTGTTCCGAGTTCTCAATGCAGTTCCATACAGTAATGAGCAAGGTGCAAAGGATGTGATCGCCAGTCTACATTCTTTCTTGACTTGTAATCTGTTAGTTGGTCTAGCAGTGTTGGTATCATGGAAGCAATTCGGAGGGAAACCCATTGAATGTATGGTACCGACGGATTTTACGAGTGCATGGGTTCAGGTGAGCATAATCTTTTGCGGGGTAGAGCTGTGTGATCAACAGAGGTGGGAACGAGTGTTTGGTGCTTTTCCCTTAGATCGCGTTGGGCTTTGTCTTTGAAAAATTAGCACCGTGGTGAGTTCGAAACACGTAAAGAGATCATGGAGAGCTGAACTCAGGAAAAGAAAGCGAGAGATAGACAGCAGTTCCCTTGTTGCCGGCAGATAGAATCAACTCGAAGTGTCACTAGGGAGACTATTTTGTAGTGAATGCATGTGATTCTTTGTGAGAAAATGCGCTTTTGGATGGTTTGTAGGGGATTAAACACCTTTAACCCTTTCGGACCTGAATTTTTCCCCGTGGAGAAATTTTTCTTCTAGCTATTGTTTATTACTTGTGAGCATATAGGTATCATTATGGCGAAATTTGGAAGCTATTCGATCACAAACAAAGAAACTGAGAAGCTTTGAAAATTGGCCCACCTTCTTAGTTTTTAAGCTTATGTCGAAACAATTCGAAGTTTCATAGTTGTGCCGAAAAAGTTTATAATCTTGCATAATATTATAACCCATAATTTTGATTTAGGAATGGATCCACTTCAAGTATTTTAAGACAAAGTCACACTTACTTGGCCGGTTGCGGGGGTCAGCGCCCATTCACTGTTGCACTTGTACACAAATACTTGCAATACTAACAGCAATAAACAATGAAATGGCCGGTTAAGCTCATAATTAGGAAGGGGAAGGTTGACTGAAGCAACCTCTAGCAGGATTAGAAAAACCATGCTGTTTCAGCGGAAATGCAAGCGTTTGAATTTGGTGGTGGCAATTGCCACCGCCAGGGCCGAAAGGTTTAAACTTATCGTTCATTTAGAATCACAGGTACATCATCACGAAAAGGTAACATCGATGTGGTGGCTGCATGTGATGGTGAAGGGTGTTACACACAAGAGAAGACGAGGGCAACAATTCTTGGGTCTATTGCGCTAGATATCAGTCATCGTAACAGTTAGTCTTACCACGCAGCCACGTACTTTTTTGGCAGATCGTCATTCAGGAAATAGGTTGGTAATAGAAGTATTTTAACTAGAAAAATGTAGCTGATGCAAGTAGGGAATTGTTATTTGAGATAATTCTCTGGCCTATGTTGGACGGAGCTTTGTTGTGTCCTCAAACTGGACGTGTATTAGTATCCTCACTATTTTCAGTAGAGCTCTAGGCGTAATAAACTTCTAAGAATCTCGTTTTATTTTTTAAGCACTGACTTTGCTCGTCAACCTTAGAAAGTTTGATGAGATTTTTCCAGCATTTACATTGACCGAGGGTACATATGACTAGTGAATTTCTCGTCAGTCGATCGTGTTATGGAATGGTTCGGATTTTAAACCTCTACTTTGGATCCTTGGAGAGGCTTTCAGTTGAGTAGAAGGGTTGACGTTGTTGCAAATTTCGCTATATGCATAATGGTTTTGTGGGTATATCGTTTCGAGTCACGGTAAGGATAGGCACTGTGAAACTGGGTTTTTTGGGTAACAGAATGGCAATGGAGTGTAGTTCGGGGACTGATTTATAGGCCCAAAGTGCCATTTGCTTCACTTCTGGAATTTTGAGAGATCTTGAAGTTCTTCTAACTTAGAACGCAAGTGTTTACTGTTATCACCTGTGGTATTCTTCCGCAGTGGTTCTCAAATGGAACTTACGAAACGTTTATGCTGTGACGAAACATTCTAATCAAAAAAAAAGGAAAATAGAGTAGTAAGCTTCGGTGCACAAGATGAAAGGGAGGGAAAGGGAAGGACCCCTTCCATACGTCTTATATATCACTGTAAAAACAGCTGCTGAAATTCACTGCACACCATGGGCGGTTTCTACTCCACATCCCAGGTAGGGCCAACAAGGGAGGTCCTAATAACTTACCTGTTTTCAAGGACACGCATCCCTTATTTTCCGCACTCGTATGCTTTCACTGGCAGATGTCAGACTTTGCGATTGGAGCGATTTTGCACCAATTGCAGGAGCGACGGATCGCTTGAAAGTGCGAGCGACGGGAGATTTACCCCGAACCGACCGATACACACGGCGCCGCTCGGGTAAATCTCCCGTCGCTCGCATCGCTGGAGCGATCCGTCGCTCCTGCAATTGGTGCAAAATCGCTCCAATCGCAAAGTCTGACATCGGCCATTGACGACAGCGCGGGTTGGGTTTTAATTTTATGTTGATTTTCCCTCAGATGGTCGCTGGCCGCCATGGCGAGAGCACAGACATAGGAGAATGCACCCAGGACTAAACCTTAAGAGGAAGACGGCTAGCCAGAGCGGGGGAGCCTAGAGAGCGCAGAGGTGGAAAAGGGCTGTGTTCAAGTAGTCCGTCGCACGCGGGGGGGGGGGGGCAAAAAAAAGACATTTTGCCTATGTCGGACTTCGGCCCTTTTTTCTTCGCAGAGATTGCCGTCGTTGACGGGAGTTCCTCAGCAGAGTATTCCCTAAGTGTCCCTCTATAAGTACACGCAGGCCTCCTTCACTGCCCTCACCGTCTTCAGAATATGACGTCATCTGTCACCGTCGTCGAGCTCAGGGAGGCCTACAGTAACTGCTTCGCCTGAAGCTCTTACATAATTTCTTGGATCGATTCAACGTGGGATAGTTTCCTAGGGACATTAGCTCTGACTATGCAAACCCCTCTCGGAACCCGCCCTTCGCAACCCGTCGTAACGGTGCACGATCAGCCGAGAACGCTATTGAGCTCGACTCAGAGGCACATTTTGCACGGGGCAAACTTTTCTTGATGCGTCCACGTGATGGCCACTATGAAGATTTCTTATGAAATGAAATGCGCTCTTCAATTCTAAGTTGGGAGCACACGCTTTGAGCTGAGCAAAGTGTGATTAAATCCCATTTGAGTCTGGAGACAAAATGTCTTTTTTTATTGCCCCCCCCCCCTGTATATTACAAATATGCAGATTCTTAGAGCAATTTTTGTTGAAAAAACGACGAAATTCAAAGGAATGTTTTGTTCCCCTAGCGAGATAGGATACGGCCCATGTGATTTATGTTGTCTCAAACAGTTATTCATTATTGAATCCATCATAATGATTTCCACAATAGTCCTGTCTATTGCTTTCATCTATTTTATCGATCTACATGAAAATTGAAGGCGTCTTTGTTTTTTAAGGCATCATTATTTTCCTAGGACTTCTTCAACAGTGACACCCCACCTGTAACTGGGAGAGGATCTGTGTTTTCGTTATCGTCTGTGCGATGGAGACTCACAGGAACTTTCACCGACATTGGCAAACATTTGGTTGCCGATGTTCCGAAACCTTCGAAAAAAGCCCCAGGTCCGTTCTGGGGCAAAGTGTCTTTTTTATTGCCCCCCCCCCCCTGTACATAACAAATATGCAGATTCTTAGAGCAATTTTTGTTGGAAAAACAAAAAAAAATTCAGAGGAATTTTTTGTCCCCTAGCAAAGGAAGGATAGGATACGGCCCATGTGATTTATGTTGTCTCAAACAGTTATTCATTATTGAATCCATCATAATGATTTCCCACAATAGTCCTTTCTATTGCTCTCATCTATTTTATCGATCTACATGAAAATTGAAGGCGTCTTTGTTTTTTAAGGCATCAGTATTTTCCTAGAACTTCTTCAACAGTGACACCCTACCTGTAGCTGGGGAGGATCTCTCTGTTTTTTTTTTATCTCGCAACTTTGAGTTAATAAACAAACCTGGACGGGATCGCCTGAGCCAAAAATCTCATGGTATTTCACGGCAAATGTCACATGATTTAAAGCCATGAATGGTTGCGTTAAATGACGCTGTGACTAGTTCGCAATCTCAAAACGGCTTCAACTTTTCAAAAGTGTAGTACTTACGTAGGTTTACCGACGAGGTGTGTATCACATGCATAGAATTTTTTCATACAATTCTTTTTCAGTATGCAGAGAATTACTGTTGGTCGCATGACACCTATTTTCTTCCATTTTCAACGCCAGCGGCTCGTACACACGACAATTCTACCCGGAGTGAAGCAAGGGTATCATTCACTAACAATAAATCCTTCTTTGGTGAAATATGTGCTGTATATGTGTTTCTTTTCTCCTTGAAAATTTTCCAGATTTCCTACTATCAATGGATGCCGTTTTTCTTGCTTTTTGAAGCTGCTTGTTTCCGGTTGCCATGTTTCATATGGAAATATTTTGCAAGTCAAAGCGGTTAGTTCAATAGCTTAAATTATAAGAAATGTCCTGCCGGATCAACAAAGGGCATTTATATGCGACATTTTGCTAGTGCTTATTGGCTTATAGATTGAATGCACGAGCTCGGGAGTCTCTACTTTTGAACAAATTTCAGACTCGAACCTTCGGGCTAAACTCTTTGCAGTCAAGCTTGAGAGTAGTTGCTTTTCTAGACGGGATTTGATGATCAAGAAAAATTCTGGGAAAAACAGAATGAATTCTAGAAATAGCTGCGATGGTTTAGAATGGAGTCGCCGGAAATTAGACATTCTAATGTAAACTTTCTTATCCGTTGTACTGTTCGTAGAGTCATCACTAACAATGTGGTTTCAGGCATGAGAGTGGGAGAAATATTGCGATTGACAACAGATGAGCACAATACTGTACCGGAGATAAGGAACGAGAATATTGAAGCGCTGCGCATACACCTACAAGGAGCGCTGCGATTTCAGAAGAGGCTCAAAATGGTGCGTTGTTTTATTGTTTTATTTTTTCTGAGATATTTCGCCGAAGCACATGTACGGGCACAGCAGGTGTGTGGGTTCCATAGGGAGTAGGACTAGAATAGAATCCGATTAGGCTATCGGATCCCTTTTTGTTGAGATTAAAAAATTATTAGTAACAGCGATATACAACAGTAGTTAACCAATGGACAAATCAGTAAGTTATAGCAAGTATTACAATTTCATTGAGTGAAAAGGCCTAATGAAGCAGCTGCTCCAAAGTAGTTGCCGGTTCGAAAAGGGTAGCCTCGGCTAGGAAGGACACAGAAATAGTAGTTGCACATCGTGTTTGGTAGCACTCCGAGAGCGAGACACTGAGGAACTCTTGTTTAAAGAATTTGACGAAACCCTCCGAAAGTTCCGGCTGTGTAGCGTGTCTTAGGTTTTGCAATTGAAGATGCACCCTAGGCTAGGATAAAAGCGCTACGATAATAAATACCAATCCATTTTGTTTTTATAGAGAGCACATTTTCAATGTATCTTTTTAGAAAAACCTCTCACCGCATAAAATTCTACGTTGTCTAAACATCAAGTATTCTACATATTATGTCACACTGATTTATTTCATAGCAAAGTTTGCATTTTTTCTGAACGTCGGACTTCAAACGAAGCTGCTGAATGAGTGAGTGGAAATGGGAAAATTGTGTTGTGCTTTTTAGAGTGAACGTTTTATTGGCTATAGGATCGTACTTTTCATAGCAATGCTACGCCTCATACTCCTCCTTGAATCTAGTCGTATAATACGTACTCATTTGCTTACATGAAATGCTTAGATATCTTCTACCGCACGCCAACTCCAGTCAGTTTGGCTTTGATGTATGGCAAACCTTATGGAGTGGGAATAGTTCGTGGAAAGAGAACGGCTTATTTCCTCGTGTCACTCTCTGCGATTTCGAGGTTTGAATCCATTGTAGTTAATGCTTCAGTAAATTCCTTGTTCTGAATGCACTAGGATGTAGATCATGAGGATTGCGGCCGCTGGGACCTAGTTTGTCATGCGATAGTTCTTTACTAGTTTAGTTATATGGACACGTTGCCCCTGCTCTATAATTTCCGCCTCGAGAAGTGAAGGTGACGTTAGGACGATGCTAGTATTGCCACCGCCGCAATGCTCATGTTATGGCAGAACAGGACAATGTCGTCTACTTTTACAGCGTTTTTAAGGTGCGAGAAATGGGGAACATACAAACGCACACAGTTCAATGTGTGCTTTTAATAAATATTTTCACTGAAAAGATCTTCATCCTCTTATGGGCGTGGTAAGTTTTGTAATTCTGTTTAAAAATTAAACCAGCTAGGACGCATCTAATTTCTTCCCTTATAGGTATGTCTTCCTCGCAACGCTAACCATAGGTAATCTATTCAGCTGGATGTTTGCTATGTTCAGTGAGACATCGAAAGAACACTTCATCATCAATCATCTTGAAATGTGCGAAGCGCCATTTGATAAAGAAAATGCTAGTAAGTTACTTTGAATGGAGATCGACCTTCTCGCGTTTTTGTGACGTAATTAATTTGTGTCGCAAAGTAGACACGGCCGGAGGTAGTGTTTTAGTACGGGGCGCCGCCCACCACGCGTAGGGTCTGGAGTCACATTCCGGAACGAATCTCGTCCAGGCTAATCAAACTTTCCAATCCCTGTGATCTGATAATTGATGCCATACTTGTCTAGAAGGATTAAAAAACTTACTTGTGCATTGGGTGATTCCCATAAGCAGTTACTTTCGCAAAATCGCATTGAAATGCCTATGAGATTCCAAATAATAACAGCATGCGTGGCGCATCATTAAGGAGATTAGTCAACGTTGAACTTTCATCCCTTAATTTTTCCAACAATTATATAATGGCTTGGAAAAAACCTGTTAAAATCATAGGATATTGGTGGCCACATGCGACAATGGTATCGTGCTCCTCAATGCATTGTTCTTTTTCTATAATGTATCATTGCATTGTTTTTATGCAGTCTCCGTCGTCAGTCCTTTTTTTACATATTTCTTTCTTAAACCCCTCTGAGAAGGTCTGCTTGAGTACTATTTGCGCAATTAGTACATGTGAATGTCGATGAATCATATTCTTGTCTTTTCTATTTTGTGAAGGACATGTTGGGGGATAAAATTCGAGAGGTCAGGGCAATGCAGAGAACGCTTTTTTTCCTATAGGAGGATTCCACGATAAGGTCGGAGGCCGAAGAATAGGGAAGTATTCCTAGTGGGAAGGCGGGCAGTTCCCTATGGGTGTGAAACTTGGCGGGTTTTGCAGCCAAGGTGGTGCCTTCAGCCGCCTAGCAGGGCCATACCAGAGTAGCGTAGGCGAGCATAACACCGATGAGACACGAACAACGCTCAAATTAGCGGGCACGACAGGTCCATATCTTGACTTTGGGGAGTGGGCTGTCATTTCGTCGTGAATTCCGCCTTTATAGATTCTTTTCACTTCTCTACCTCCATATCTTTAGTATCAAAAATTTTGGCCGCCCCTTCAAATGAGACAGGCGCCTTAGTTCTCTCTTGAGAGCTTGGTCTAGTTAGTGACCTTCTTTCCGCATTCGCAGCCGGCTGCGGCAAGAAGGCAGTTATTGCAGTAACGGAATATAGATTGACGTTTTTTTTTCTAGTAATTTTGGATCTAATGAACCTCAACAATAGAATGAAAAGGAAAAAAAATGGTACAGACATTTTAACTTTTGAGTTTGTTCAGCTTCGAAACATATGCAGGCTTGTACTCTGAATTTCAGCCAACCGGGAACATGTTGTCTGTTTTATTGACAAATATCTTGGGCTCGATGGAGTGTTTCTTCTACGACTTATAGCTCAACATGCTGATGTCGTTTTCATAACTGAACTCATTGGTGCGTTGTGGCGGAGTCACTACGAAATTGAGGAGCAGAGGAGGTGAGAACATTGTGATGTCAATTTTAAACTGTGCGAACAGTAATACTATAAGTCATTTTAAGAGCGCTGAAGAAAATGAACCGTGTTCTTCCACTGTTGCGTTCCGATGAAGAAGAGGGGCACGTCACTCCTGACCTGCCCAGCTCAGGAAGGCAATCCGTCACCGGGAAAGATAGGAAGGTATGAGGCCTCCTCAGCTTGTTTATTCGTGCAAAGTTTTTTGTGGATCTCGTACCACCCAGTCAAGGAAGGATGATAGTTCGATGCTACATTACGATGAGACATAAACCAAACTATTTGGTTTTGGGCGCTTTTTCGAAACCTTTTAACATTGACGACGACAACGAAACGCTGTTGCGCGTCTGACCCTTGTCATCCGTTTCGCCAAAGGCTGGAGCATACGCTACGACACTGGCGCGCCCAAAACTTCTTGAGAACCAAACAAATTGGGGACAAGTTCAAAGGGTCCCAAGCTCGTCGAAAAACAAATAGTTTGAGGGATGAAAGATTCGCTATAATTCGATGCATAATGACTAAAAGTTCAAGAAAAAAGGCCAGAGGGCGACCAACTAACTAACACTCCTCTAACCTCGCTTGGATGCCGCTCTTGCTTCAGCTACCTCTTGAATGTGTTAAACTGCATGGGGAGAAGAAACTTCAGTACCACCCCTAGGAAGCCGACTAGCAGGGTTGGGAAGACATCATGAGACTGACGTTCAAAAACACATTCTGCGATATTGTTCCCATTCCATATGGCGAGTCCGACTTATCATCCTTTGCTGAAGAGTTTATACCTATCTCACTTGCAAATGTCTTTCGACGCTTTCACTTTCATGCTGTTTTTACCATAAAATGTGACTTACTTAAAGTTAAGCTTCTTTCTTATTTCCTTGCTGTTTGCCTTTTGCATATATAATGGCTTTTTTTCTTTTTCAATAGACTCACCATGTCTCATTTTGGTGCAGCCTATTTTGACGTTGCTGTGGTGCTTGTGATGTGTCTTTTTTAATACCGCTCTAGAATGTGGGTGTGGTTCACTAGGACAGAAAGCGACTTTTTCGCGTTTCGCAGCGCGAAACATTTTTCGCTGCGGGAACCTCAGGTCCACCGCTGATCATCAGTGGACCTGAGGTTCCCGCAGCGAAAAATGTTTCGCGCGAAGTCGCTTTCTGTCCTAGTGAACCACACCCCTAAAATGTCGTTAACACGCACTATTTGCTAAATCCAGCTAAGATTTATTCCTACTGGATGAGTGACGA